TTATTTTTAAAGTACTAGGACTTCACATACCCTTTTTCTTTTTTTATATATAAAACTATTTTGTCACACTTGACATTTGATCATAGCTCCATCCTGTGTATATAGGCCGTATAGTGGGGTTACTAAGCTCATTGAGCTTGCTTGGAAATTCAGGAAATTGCATCATTTGTCCAAGTGATAACTAAAGAATAGACTGCCATGGATTCACCTTTGAAACTTCTTAAGGGGAAAACGATGGTATTGGTGGGACGTTAACAAACATCCATACGTGCTTGCAGGGCCGGTCTAATAAGTTTTATTGTCCTGGGCGAGATAACAATTTTATGCCCCTTGTATCGTATAATAGACAAAACATAAATAATTTTATGCTCTATAAAACTGCCCCCAACATGCTGCCCTCGGCTGTCGCCCATGTGGCACATGTGTTGGGCCCGCCCTGCGTGCTTGCTACTCTGCTTCCCAAAATTGAATTCAAGGACGCGTGGACCATGCATGAAGTAAACCACAGGGTGAAGACTCTCAATGCTCGTTTACTATTTCTTTGAAACTTTCAAAATTGTGGAACTGAGTTACATCCGTGGGACCATATTGGCATATTTCTTCTCGTGTAATCCAAAAATGTAGAAATGGTCATTGTATGAGTTTCTTAGAAATTTGTTTCCAAATTATGGAAACTTCAGTTCCTGCTGTCATTGGCTATCTGATAGTTAAATAATAGTAAACCTTCTTATCTATTTATGCATACCCACAATTGCATGTCTAAGAGGAGAGAAAACACAACCTGTCTATTAGTTTCGACGTTGTTTCAAGCATTGACTCGATAGCATAATGCTTCAAGCATTGGCTCAACGGCATACTATTAATGGAGATTAGACCCATAGAATACAACTCAAACGATTTTGAGGTCAGATTTTACAATATCTCAATGAGAATGTTAATGTTCAGCTTAGACATTTGCCATTTTTTAACAGAAAATGACAAGTTTAGAACATATGAATAGTCGGGTGACTATTTTATAACTTTTAATAATTTGAGGACTCAATAAAGTAGGGCTCTAAAGTTGGAGGACTATTTTATAACTTTTAATAATCAAGAACTCAATAAAAGTGTATCCTATAGTTGGAAGACCATTTGTATATTTTACCCTTTAAAATTATTATAATCCCTTAAAATATTAAATTTTTCATTAATTTTAGCATCTTAAATATGATTTGTCTGTTGAATAATTGATGCATGTTGGGGGTAAATTTAGGTTGAAATTCGTCTATTTAAGTTACTTAATGTTTAAGGTGACATTGAGGGGTTACTTATGGCTTAAGATAATCAAATTGTCGAAATAAAATACTGAATTTCAAAATTTGGGAGTGATGTTTCGAAACTTCAAACAAATAAGCTTTGAAATTTAGAAATTTGATCATAAATTTCGATACTTACAGGGTGGGTTTCAAATCTTGCTAACCGATTTCAATATTCATAAACCCATATTTGAAAATTTATCAAACTAACCCCTTTTGATGATCTATGTTACAATGTAGTCTATATATTTGATATATGTATCAATTTGCTCCCTGGATGGGTGTTCTATGATTGTTTATGTCACTGACTGATCTAGTTCCGATTTGATTTAAATATTTCTGAAACTCATAAACTAAATTTGAAAATTTATCAGTTTAACCACTGTTTATGATCTAGGTTACAATATGGTCCATATATTTTATATGTGTGTCAATTTAGTCCCTAAATGGGAGTTTTATGATTGTGCGTGTGATTAATTGATCAATTTAGTTCTAATTTCATTTAAATCAACTTTTGATCAGTCAATATACACTTTCAGTCCTATACGGAACCAGATCGGATTAGAGGTGTCAATTGAATAAGAGTTATTTTAAAGGAAGCAACGGACCGGACTAACATGTATATCTCAACTTTTTTTTATTAATATGGGGTAAGTACAAGGTAGTATTTGTTCAAAGATAACTCTCAACATTTTGATATTGAACGTTCATACCTCTAGGATTCTCGGTGCTCGAACCTGAGTTTTTAAGGAATGATAATAATTCCTTTACCACATAGGTCACTTAATTCGTGCTGGTATCTCATATCCTTGCTCCACATTAATGTTCTCCTTTTCTTCATCCTTCGATGGTATGCCAGGTTTTGCTTTCACTCCTTCAAACTTAAACGTGGGACTTTAACATCTAAATACTTTATTTAGGAACCCGTCAAACTACCTTAGTTGTACACAGTGGTGTTGTTCATAAAGGCCTCAGGTTCGATCAGTTGTATATGTAGAATGTTTACACATTGTTAATGGTTAAGAAAGATTATGAACATATATTACCTTGTAAATAAATCAACAATGTTATCGATTAAATTTTATTTTTTTATAGTATGTGAAAATTGAAATTAAATTTATTTTTATTTTTTTATAAAAATGAATATATCTGTTTATTTTTATAATATGTGAAAATTAAATCAAATTTAAGTTTTGTATACGTATATACATAAAAATTGAAAACTTGTATATTGCATTACATATTTTATCAAAGTAAATGTATAATTCCGATATTTATCTCAAAAAAAATCATTAAATTTCTATCTGTTAAAAAGGAATTAAGTTTTTAAACATATATCAAAGATAAGTTTAACTCTTTTTTCTTATCGATACAAAGTAATATCTATTTAAAGCTTGTTGAAAAATAATAATTTAATTGAATAAAATTGATGTTATTTTATAATAAGTCATGTCTATTCAATTATACCTATTAATTTTTCAACAAATCTCTTCATCAAAAGGCCGAGAGATCTTAACCTTTCAATCATTTCTCTCCTCTATAAATAAGTTAGTTAAGGCTTAATCTTAGAGGCAATTCTCAAACGTTGGAATAGGAAAACTCTTAGAAATTCCTTTCAAAATTAATTCTATCTGGTGAAAGAGAAAGGTAAGATTGTGTTCACCTGATCACTACGGTTGTGATTTTTTGTTGTGATCATTTGTTGTTGTATCATGGGAGACCGACACTCAACTTTACTCAAAGCACCGAGAAGAGGACGAATCTGTCTTAAGGAAATTGTTCATAAATGCCTCAACAAAACTTCATTTTCTGTTTATCTGACTCTGCACATCCGATTTCATGTCTACATATGAATAACCAAATTCCGTTTCTTTACTTTAATTCTTTATTTATTTTGCTTTGATCGATTTAAATAATAATATTTGTTTATTATTATTATTTTATGTCTTGGATTAAGCATTTTGTCTAACAAAAATAACTTTCAACTACTTGTCGAGACATTTTTATCTCTGACATTCTCGTACAATGAAATTATTTCTCCACATAAATGTCAGGCTAAATGTTTAAATAAAGGTTAACTTTTAAGGCCAGTAGAAATAAGGTTTAATATTAAAATAAGTGTTTAAACTGTATTGTTTTTCATTAGGGGTGTGTACATTCGGGTACCTGGATTTTTGGATACCTAATTTTTGGGTACCCGAAACTTCTGGGTCGGTAATCAGGTACCCGGATTTTGCGGGTACCCGGTACCTGTTTTTTTTATTTTTCATTTTCAAATTATTAATTTAAAAAATATACATAAATTTAAATGTTTGAAACTTCAAATTACATACTCTAATATCCGAACATAAAATTTAAAAGTTTAAAATACAAAATCTAATAATCCATAATATAAATAATTCATTATATTATATATATATATATATATATATATATATATATATAACTAACTCGGGTACCCCGGAAAAATTAAATTTTGTGACCCGGGCCAGACCCGGTTGGGTAATTTATTTAGAAAATTATCCGATTTTTTTAAGTCCGGGTCGGCGGGTCGGGTAGTTTTGCACCCCCCTACTTTTCACATATAAGTGTCTAAACTAATTTTCATCTTATCTAGTTGTCAAATGTTACAACTGTTACCCATTTAGATGTTAAGGCCATCAACGACGTTAATTTCCACTGTTAAGTAACATATATCACAATCTAGTGATTTTGAAATTTATTTTTAAAATAAAATATTAAAAATATTATGATATTTATTAAAAAAAATAATTTTTCTTATATTATAAAACAACCGCAAAATCCCAAATCCTAACCTTAATCCACCGCAACTGCCTTTTTCGGTCGCGATCACTACCACCGGCGTAGCCCCTGTCATCCTCTTACTCATACACCGTTGTATTTTCCGTCGATTGGCCGTCGGAATCGCATAGAATCATGATTTTAATCTTAGGGTTCGAGCAGTTTAAAACATTGATTCATCGTCGATAGGCCATCGATCGATCACGATTTCATGGGGGTTTTGGTCGTCGGGGGGAGGGGAGGTCGAGTGGAGCTTCTTCGACTGCAAAAGGCAGCGGTCGGCGTGGGTTTAGGGGTTGAAATGAAGATTTTCAAAGTTTTAGATTTATTTCAAAATTTATGTTTTTTTTGTTTTTAATATAATTTTATATTTTTAATTTTAAATAACATTTTGAAAATTATCAGGTTGTGACACGTGTTATTTAACGGGGAAATTAACATCGTTACCTGCCCAGAGACCTCAATGGGCAATATTTATAACGTTAGACACTTAGATGAGACGAAAATTAGTTTAGACACCTATTTAAAAAAAGTGGTATAGTATGAACACTTATTTCGGTATTAAGCCTAGAAATAAATAAGAGTTTGATAATTTTCAATCTATGTTTAAATTTTTTTATTAGATTGTGGTGATTACAAGATAATATTTGTTTTAAAGATACTAAAATATTTGACAATGAATGTTCAAACACTTTTGTCAACGCTAGTGCTCAAATTTAAGACTTCTAGAGACAATAATCACATATTTAATCACTAAAATAACTTGATTCTTACAAGTTTAAACTTTTTAAAATGCTTTATTTGGCGATAAATAAAAAAATCAAAGATTGCCCTCAATTTGGTGCAAACAAATCAACCACTCCCACCTAATTCCCCCAAACAAACAACAAAACATCACCAAATTTACAAACAAAACACACCATCAATAACAATTTTTTCCATACAGTTGATATAATACTGATTCTTCTGTACGAGGCAATTATCATTCGCTTTCTCACCAGCACAAGATGCAGTTGAGGGTATGTCTTTGGTTTGTCTTACAAGTGAAGGCTTTCTCCCTTGAGGTTTTCTTACATTTTCTTTCCTTGCAGTGCCTAAACAAGAACCAGAAGAACCAACTGACTTTCTGGACATTTAAGGCAGTGATGGAAAAAAACGTTTTAACTGAAGACAGCTTTGTGGTACGTACTTTACTTTTAATTTTAGCATGTTGTGTTGTCACAACAATGTCAATCATGAGTTATTCATTTTACTTTCAGTATGTTTTGTGACAACATCGTTAAAACTGATTCACTTTCATAATTCATACAAAATTTATTATTGATGGTGTGTTTTTATGTTGTTTCTGAACTTCATTATAGTTTTCAAAAACATATAGTAAATTAAAAGATGAAATATACCTCTTCCATTTGCGACTGAGGAGGATGACACACATGAAGCTGTTACCCTAGAGTACTAGAGTGAAACTGGAAATTATGAGGATGAAAAACAACCTATAGTTCATTCAGCTGAAGAAAATAACAAGGATGAATCTGATCCTTTTATCTGCAACCTTAAGTTAGCGATACCAACCCGTGTCTGGCCGTATTTAGTCGAAGCTGGATTCAGTTACATAGCTAGATATAAAGACCATTGTAGGATAGAACCAAACCTGATTTCTGTATTAGTCGAGTGATGGATACCGGAGACACACACATTCTATCTTCCGTGCGGAGAGTGCACGATTACGTTGGAGGATGTTTCCATGCACTTGGGGCTTCCGTTGGATGGAGATGTACTTTTAGGGATGGCACACAGTAACTGAAATTCTTTGTACGATGAATATTTAGGAGGTGTCCCGCGAAATTTTAACAGTTGTCGAATTTCGTTAAATTGGTTGGATGCAAATTTCCAGAATTTGAGTGAGGACGCCTCGCATGATCAAGTTAAAAAGTATGCACGAGCATGCATACTACAGCTGATAGAAGGGTTGCTGATGTTGGACAAATCGCGCAACCAAGTTAACTGTATGTAGTTGCGGCATCTTGGTGATTTTCATCTGGCTGGATCACTGAGTTACAGCTCGGCAGTTTTGGCATTCATGTATAGGGAGATATGTCGAGCTACTGACTACAGGAAAAATGCTATCGGTGGATATCTCCTTCTATTGCAGTCTTGGGCATGGTATCGCATGCCCTTTTTATGTTCTGTTGTGAAGAACCCGTTCGTATTCCCACTACTATTGAGGTAATAATAAAACTGATTTCGTATATTAATCATTTTTATCTAGTATATAATAAAAATTATTTCCTTGGATAGGTGTTCTATTGACAGGAAAAATCATCGGGGTCTACCTGATGAATTAGAATTAGTGAGGCTACTAATTGATTAGAAGGTCGGCACAGAGGTATGTATTTCAATGTTTGAAAATCTATTTTATATTATAGTTATATAATTAGATTATTATTTTGATAAGAATTATATATATATATATATATATATTTGTTTTAGTTTGAATGAGCTCCTTATTGTAATGATGATATGAGGATTTGCATCCCACATGAGTTAAGGGTCCCATTAGATGTTTGGATGGTGGTGGTCCCTCTGATCTGTTATGTGATTGTCGAGTGGCATCCCACTGATCGCGTGCTCCGGTAATTTGGTTTTGTACAACCAATTCCGGAAGTAACTCAAAATCTCGACGAGTTGCATAACACCGATCGACGCGGTAAGACAGATAAAAATTGGCTGCATAAGTATTATGAGTGGGTATGATATGGGAGGATCAATGTTGGCGTATTCCCCATAAAAAAACCTATTTATGTGGACCATTTGACGGTTGCAGATGGTTATTACGAGTGGTTCAACAGTAACGAGAAACTGTCATAACCCCATCGTCTCTCGACTCGTAGACGGAGAGCAGGTGGTTTCGGTTCGTCATCAGCTACACCAGCAGAACCTTCACAGTAACCACTATCTACAACGATGTACACCCTGCAGTCATATCAGATGTCACCACCTCCTTTCCCACACCATATGTCGTCGTCGCCGCCACCACATAGTTATATGACCCCTCCTAGAGGATATTATGGTTCTATGTTTGCATATCCGACTTGGGGTTCATATGCTAGTTATTTAACGGGTCCAACCTCACCATCGATAGCCGCCGCACAGACACCTCCTGTATAGTTTTCTCACTCATTTATGTCTGCGTTTTCTCAATTTTCTCAGTTTTCTATGAGCGGTGGGATAGTCAATCATACACCTCCAGGGTCCTTATTATTTGGAGGTGCTACATCGTCATCTGTTCCTCATCAACAAAATGTATTTGCTCCTAATGACGACGGCGACGATGATAACAATGACGATGATGGTGATGATGACAGTGAGGAGTCATAACCTGTTATATAAAGAAATCCTCATCGAGACAGACAGCCACCACCCTGCGGAACACATTCGCACCGCAGACATCGATAGTTTTTGATATTTTATTTTATTTGTAATTACTTTTTATTGGACAAAAAATTGTAATTTTTTATTATTTACCATTTAATACTTAATTTATTTTGTTAATTTTGTTTATTACTTAATTCAATCGAATGTTGATGATCATTTAATGTTTTTTAATTATTTTTATAATAATAACAGTAAATATATATATAAAAAATAATTGTCTTTTAAAAGTTTGTTGTATTTAAAATTATATTCAAATACCGAATTGATATTAGTTTGATAAAATTTAATAATTATGTTCGATAACTTTCTTAAGTAAGTCACTTATTACCTCTTTTATTTTAATCACATATAATGCCAACGTCGAATCCCGTTGTACCAATAAAAATGTGTCATATCTTTGAATGGTTCTTTTTTATCAATGTTCATGGATAATTTCACTTTGAATGGTTTTTCTTTATCGTTTTCTTGTTTTTTTTAATTAATCAGTGGTTATCAAATGACATTAACTTTAAGTAAATGTTAATTAAATTACAAGAACTATTCTTCAATAAACAACAACTACATCATTTCCTCATCAATAGTTACTTGATGACAAGAGAAGTGGACATTTTTCTACTGTGTCATAGGTTTCTACAATGCCCAGATCTTCTGTTTTCTTTAGATGTTTCCCGAATATCCATATCACAATAAATTCGAGTGGATTTTGGACGACCATGTCCCTCGATAAAACCGAATCTGGTACAATCGGAACCCAATTCCGAACCTCATTAGGGTCTTTATCATTACCTAAGGGGGAACTCAAATTCGTATACCTTAAACACTTCTGATAGTAGGTATATGAGATCCAAAAAACGGTTATAGTCTTGATAGGTATACGAGTAAGTTGCTATCATATGAGAGTATGGATACTTTAGAGCTTGAAAAAACCCACAGTCGCACCATTTGTCCCTTAGATTTACTCTTAACGAGTTAGCTTCAATCCCTTGAAGAGGTCACGGCATCTCTGTGACACGAAATAATTCATGCGTTCTAGATAAGCTTATTATAGACATACCATTTGATGCAATATTTTTTTGGCATAATACAAACAAATACCCCTAACGTTTGACATTATATGCATTTGTGCTCAAATCGTTTTTTTGGAGCAGTTGTACCCACAACGTTTGATTATGAGGCATAAGTCCCCTTCGTTGGATGGAAACCGTCAGGCAAATGACGGTCAACGGTTCCAGATGACTAAGCAAGCACATGTGGATAATGATGATGAAGTGGCGTGTCCACGTTATTAATATATGATGATGTGGAATTGACACGTCAGCTTTTTTAATTAAATTTTAATAAATATTTTATACCAATAAGAGAGTGACATGTGTCACTCTCCTACTGGTGCATATTGATATGAATGGATAAAATGCTAAGGAGTGTTGGGGATGGGAATCGAACCTGGGACAAGGACATCAAATGGGATGGCCCTTTCCACTAAACCAGTCATGTTACTTGGTTATTATATGTAACAAAATATTAATAAACCCATAATAAATGTTCATATTAATATAAAAAAAGTTATGGCTATGGCTATCTGTTGCTTTTCCCCGGCGTGCTCTCACGTGAACGTAAGGCAACTTCTGGGCGTTCTCTGAGCTCTCATTCACCGCAGTTTTGTTTTTCTTTGTTGACCCTTTAACCTATGCAAGTTCAGAAAACAAATTAATTAAAAATACCAAAAAAGAAAACCCACAAACCCTTGATCAAAATTTCCTTTTGGTTTTGGTTTTCTACCTTATTTTCTCCATCATTTCTCTTGATATTTTGCTTGTCTAACGTTGGATCGGAAGCCAACGGCTGGGATGACTCGGTCTCCGCCTGCTCACTCTTTATCGCCTTCTCAAGATTCGTGCTTAAGTTTTTTGACTCAGGCGACTTACTCTTCTCACTCTCATTGTTGTTATTAACTTCTGCAGAAAACCTCGTATCTCGTTCAATCAAACAAGTATTCGAAGGAAAATGGAAGTTATCTTTGAAATCTTCAAAGTTCAGAGGCGAAGTAGGGATTAGATTTGATGATTCAGGAGAGTAAAGAAGCTCAACTGCTTGTGGAGACGGTAGTTCAAGCAGAGCCGTGAAGGAACTGGCGTTATCAGTTGGCGGAGTCGAAATCAAACGGTGGATTTCGTCGGTGAATTGGAGCGATTTGAACATCGTAACTTCATCCCCGTTCAACGCCGTTAAATTATATCTGGTCTCCATCGTCCTTGCGTTTGGCTCCATGGTTGAAAGATAGAATAATAAGTGCCCAAAGTCGAAATTTTGAAAGAATAACCCAGCACAATTTTCTAGAAAATAAAATATACACTCTAGGTAAGTTTAACCCAATTCAGAGATTTAAGAGATTAGAGAAACGAAGCTTTGATTAGTTTGTTCAATGACTGTGTGGTGAAGCTTAGAGAAAAGATGATTAGAGGGTTTTACCCTGTTCGACTGCTGGTTTGTTTGGTTTGTTGTGATCAGAGGGTGCTCTCGCCCTTTGTTGATATTGTTGGTTTGTTTATTGGTCTATTGTTTAGAGTGTGGGGATCTGAGATTGATTCATTTTTTAGGATGGGGATGTTGTGCAGAATCTGGTGGAACTTCGCATTGAGGATGAAGAGGAGGAGGCGTTAGTAGTCAACGTGAATGAAGGAGAAACTGGCTTATCTTAGGAGAACTATTTTGTGGGGACTTTTCACACATCAAGCATGATCAATTCCATATAATAACCAAGTAACATACATGGTCTGGTGGCAAGGGTCATCATATTTAAGGCCCTTGCCCCAGGTTCGATTCTCATCCCCAGCACTCCTTAGCATTTTATCCATTCATGCCAATACGCACGAGTAGGAGAGTGACACATGTCACTCTCTTATTAGTATAAAATATTTATTAAAATTTAATTAAAAATGCTGACGTGTCAATTCCACATCATTATATATTAATGACGTGGACACACTACGTCATCATCGTTGTCCACCTGTGCTTGCTTAGTCAGCTAGAGTTGTTGACTATCAGTTGACTGACAGTTTTCATCCAAAGAGGGGGACTTATGCCTCATAATCAAACGTTGTGGGTACAACTGCTCCAAAAAAATGATTTGGGCACAAATGCATATAGTGTCAAACGTTAGGAGTATTTGTTTACATTATGCCATATTTTTTTGTAGATCTGTAACTAATCTAGGGCGATAGATATGACCACCTTGCATCCATGTTTGAGTTTGTCCCCCGAGCTTCACAAAAAACACTCCCAAACGAAAATATGTCATTTTTACCAAAGTCGTTACAGGTAAGTAGCGTGCCCCCTTTAAGGTCGAATTGATTGTCTCAACCAAGTTGGTCATCATGTGTCCATTTCGATATCCACCATTTTATGCATTTTTCCATATTTCTTTATTAATGAGGTTGATGTAATCGTATCCTTCCTCGTTCTTCGCCTGCAAATCTTGAAGCATAGATTCAAATGTTTGAGGTAGTATTTCATAACTTGAGCTTAAAAGATAGAACTTACTAACTTTGTTTCTATAAAAATGAAAATCATTGAAAGAAAAAAACTACAGCAGTTTCATTTACCCATGCGCACAAGTAATTGGCGCTCATCATTCTTCTTTAACCTTCCATAGTAGTTCGCAGCAATGTGTCAGATACAATACTTATGTTGGACAAATGGTGGTTGCCACATTGGACCCAAAAACTCAATTGCTGCTTTGATCCCAGCTCCGCGATCTGAAATGACACAGATTTGTTCTCTCGTGATAACATGTGAATGTAAGTTTCGGAGGAAAAAAACCCAAGATTATGTATCTTCTCCTTCAACAAGGGCAAAAGCAACTGGAAGAATGTTGCGATTACCATCTTAGACAACTGCCAATAGTAAAACTTGCTTGTATTTTCCATACAAGAAAGTCACGTCGATCTGGACCACAGGCTTGTAGTATTTCACAGCATTAATGCACTGTGGGTAAGTCCAAAAAACCGAGTAGAATTGGGTTCGATCGCGAAGAACTCAATCATTATTGTATGCATGGCAAGTTTCGAAGTTCACAATTTTCCCAAGATTCAACCTCCACACCAACCTAAACCAACTTGGAAGTTCATTGTAAGATACATCCCATTCGCCGTGAAGTTTTTTAATCGCACTCTGCTTTTCCAACTATACTTTTCTGTATGAGACAGAATACCCATACTGCGATTGTATAGCTGAAATCAACACAACAATATCTATATGGGAGCTTGCTTTTACGATGGGCATGATGGCTTGACATATCACTTCAGACTCCAAGTTGGGATGATCTTGGTTGATCCCTCAAGTATAATATGTGTGAGGACCGTTGTATATCGTTAGTTCTCATCTATTATTTTTCCTCTTCCTCTTTGATATGCGAACTATCCAATTACATTCGTTTTCACGTCGGACACAGTGGCATACATGTTTTTCTGGCATAGAGCGGTCGACTCTGGACTGAACATATTTACGGATATTGTAAATTTTTTATTGTCATTATCGTTTCTTCTTTGCTAGAAAACTCCATGCCTAAATATAACTCACCATTAATTATTGATGAGTTATCCATAATCATCGAGATTAGGCATATCCGCAAATTCTGGCTCGTACATTGCACCATAGTCAACTTCATACATGTGCACTGGAGGTTCAGTTTGTACCACATTTATGGGAACTTCATCTACATCATCATCATCATCGGAGTTGAACTGTGATGATTCTGGGTGAACCAATAGTCCAGTCTCAGCACCATCTGCACCTGGCTCATGAAACGGTTCTTCTGGTGGAGATGAGGGTTCCTCCATGCTATCCAAATTTAGGTCGAACAACATGCTACTTGCATGCGTTCCCCTTAAACTAGAAGGCATTTCGATATTGAGATCGAAAAAGCTCGTAGTAAAGTCATCGTGTCAAATAGAAACTGCCCAGATTGCTACGTCGAGGGCATCTCCATATTTAGGTCAAAGAAATTGGCAAATGAATGCCTTCCCCTTGAACTGGACACGATGTTGCCATACAGATTGCTTGTGGACCCACCTCGGTACAGATCGTAAGGAGTTGCTGATGAATGTCTCCCCATTGAACTTGATGGGATGGAACAATGATGCGGATTTCCCATTATGGCGTTAAAATCATTACATGTTACTGTAGTTGGGCTGTCAACTTGATCAACTTGTTCAGCCAGCCCATAGTGGAGCTTAATGACAAACCCCGAATAGTACGCAATTCTACAAACTTTGCATACATCTTCGTATTGGCGTCTGAATAATGATTTTAAAAATCAACCATCATTTCAACATCATCATTGTTTAATAGTTCGAACGTTGTATAAGTTAACGAAAACAATGATGTTGGAAATCTGTACTAAAGCGACGATAGTCTTCTAGTACTTCCAACATGAACCTTCTTTGAAATCTTCGTTATCAACTCCTCAAGAGTTATGTTTCTCTTGAAGGATATTTTAACAGAATTATTTGATATGAACATAACGCCGGTTTCATCTTCCCAAATTTCACCATCATAATAAATAATAGTTGAAATTCACGTCATTCTTAGAGTTTGAAAGGAAGACAGTCTTATATCTGTAAAAAACTGAAACAAGCCTAATTAAATAAATAATATATGAATTAAAATATAACGCAATAATTCACGTCGAAATATTTAAATTTTTTTGATACGACTATAATATAAAATTATATTATTTAAATTATTTACGTTGATTTGAAAAAAATTTCAAAAAAAAATTGCTCCCGCTTTCCAATTTTATAACCATAAAAATTAATTGAAAATAATTACTACAATATTTTTCCAAATAATCATATATAAAAAATAGAGAAAATAACCTCAGTGACCAAAAATCCCATATAATATACGATTTTAACCAACTTTTTCCGGATTTGCCAAAATGACCAACAAAATTGCAATGCGATCGCTAATTCGCAACGCAATCTCCATTATCGCAAATTCGCGTTGCATTTCGCGTTGCGATGGTATACAATGTCGTTGCGATTTTCCCGATTCGCAATGCGAATAAGTAAATCGCAACGCGAATTGGGAAAATCGCAATGCGATACTGACTATCGCAATGCGATACTTACTATCACAATGCGATAATACAAAATCGCAACGAGATACTGACTTTCGCAACGCGATTCTGACTTTCGCAACGCGATTTACATAGCGCCATTCGTATTAACGCGTATTTTTTTTTCAAATTCCAAACACGAATTTTTTCTTAATAAATCGGAAACTGAACCGTCCACAGTAATCGCAACTCATAACCTCAAACCCAAAAACACAACACTCAGTCCCATCTCCATCTCTCACTCTCTACGGTGAAATCCGTCCCCATCTCCGAAGATTTCCGTCCCCATCGCCGGCGAAATCCCTCACAACCATTCACAGTCAAAAATCTTACAGTCATTCAGAAATGGAAAATCAACCTCCGAGGGTTAGTTTTTTTTATTTTTATTTTGAAATTTTTGCATTATTTTAGGTTTTTCATATTGAGATTGATGATAAGTTTACTGGTAATTTCAATAATAGATTAACCATTTCACTTAGATTTCTTATTAAATTCATTCGATTGCTGCCAATACTACTAAACTGTTTAGCCTGTGAAGTTAGTATTTGTCTTTGCTTTGTCTTTTGGTTGAAGTAATGCAGAAGAAGAATAGTTTCGAGAATGAAAATCGCAACGCGGAAATAACTATCGCAACGCGAAATAAAAAACGCAATGCGAAACAAAAATCGCATTGCGATTTTTATTTCGCGTTGCGATTTTCATTTCGCGTTGCGATTTTTATTTCGCGGTTGCGATTTTCATTTCGCGTTGCGATTGTCTGGTCGCGATAGTCATTTCGCGTTGCGATTCTCTCGTTGCGATAGTCATTTCCGCGTTGCGATTCTCATTATCTCGTTGCGATTTTCATTTCAACCAAAAGACAAAAACAGTGTTGCAAATTTTAGTTTCAAGAATAAACTACTATTTATGTTTATTGTTTTGTTTTTGGTATATCTTGACAGTGTAATTTTTGGTATATATAACTTGGTATGTTTATTGTTTTTTTGTAGAAATTTTTTTCGGCTTCATTGACATTAAGGAATAAAGTTAGCCTAGCCACTACAATTGCTTCGAAGCTTTAACCTGCACAAAGAAAATTGTTTGAAGAAACCTGCTTCGGGCCATGGCTGAGAGTACAGCATCCGGGTGGAGATGCTAGTTTGACCCATTT